AAAAAAAAGCAAAGGTGTCGAGGAAGAGAGAGCTGGGGATAAAATGGACTTATTACCCTTATGCTCCTACCTCATTAATTTAAATAAAGTATATATATGATTTATCATTTCATAATTTCGTCTTAATTTGACTTGCTTTGATTTGTACAGGGAAATTAATTTACTTGATTTAGAGTCTTTATGTCTTGCTTTTTGTCTGCTTCCTATCTGTTTTAATTTCAAGTCTTCCCACAATTTATTATTATTATTATTATTATTATTATTATTATTATTATTATTATTATTATTATTATTATTATTATTATTATTATTATTATTTTGTGTAGAATTGTTTGTTTTTGTTATTTATGATAAAAGAGAATTCTATTAAGACATAAAACAAATAGAATGAACACCAAGAGATGTTTTTATGATATTTTCATGCATTTTGACCCGGCAACATGCATCTATCCCCCAACCACAAAAAATCTTTGTAACAAACATGTATAATGCCAGGAGTGCTTTAAATCTCTTCTTCAAGAAAAAGGAAAAAGTATTCTAATACCAATTATTTGCCTCAATTAGCCACTAACCATAAATGAGCTAATAAAAGTTTCGGAGATACTACAATTCTGTTACGGAACTATTTCGTCTAATTTTATAACCGTTAGATCAACTATCCCGACGGTTACATGATGATCTAACGATTACAAAGCACGACGGAACAATTCCGAAACAGAACTGTAGTATCTTCCAGTTCGCAAGATTAATGCTTATACAACGCTTTATTTAATGTAAGGGTTAATAATATTGTGTACCTAATTTGTCACAGTAGTTCAAAGCACTTAAAAATTTTTAAGAATTGCATCATTTACATTTGAAACCAATTAAATTAATCCGATTTAGTAGTGATTTTTTTTTTTTTTTCCAAACGACAACTATATTAATAACTGAAAAACTCAAAAGAGTACAACCGAAGTGTCAAAAGACACACTGGAACCAGAAGACTGGACCAACCCCCCTAGTTATCACACACAAGGGGGTACAAACTCCATGAAGGAGGCAAACACTCACAAAATAAAACTCTAAAAAGAGACTAGAAGCAGACAAGCTGCACTGAAAGCAGACAAAGCTGCACTAAAAGCAGACAAAGCTGCACTAAACGAACCAAAACACCAAAATAAAACAAAATGCAAATCAGAAAAAAAATACACACTTAATGTACATATAAACTAGAACTAGAACCTCCCATACACGTAACACACTTAATGTACATATAAACTAGAACTAGAACCTCCCATACACGTAACAGACTCAATGCCCAACCACCGGGGACCATACACACACCTAGTAGTGAATTAATAGTCAGCAAATGGAGCAAGAAGCTACTCCCATTTAGCACTTGGTATCATTTTTAAGGAAAATGTTACAATCCCGTTACGGAAGCATTTTGTTGAGATTTGTAACCATTAGATGCACATGATAACTAATATAAATGTTTATCTAAGGATTACAAATCCCAAAGGAATGGTTACATAACACACGACTGTAGTCTTACCCCGTTTTGAAATGATTAGTCATTAGTTAGCCAACTTTTGTCAACGGCAGTTTATTATAAAGGTCAACAAACCCAACTAACTCACTACTTAGACTTATTAATTCGGTGAATTATATATTATATATAGCCAAGGAAGCAGACAAAGCCATGATTTACTTACACCCACGGCCCACCCACATGGCTCTGTGTAATTGTGCTTAACTAAAGGGCTATAATTATGTGGGGATAGACGACCTCAATCTAGTGATTATTATGTATCTTATTAACAAACTTTTCAATTAATTAATAGAAAAATAAAAAAAATTAAATAAATAAATAAAATTGTTGTTCGTAGGATATCCAATGATTATATAGTTACGCCTCATTTACTTTGGATAGGATTGGACAATTTAATCCAACCAACTTTACACGTCGGAATTCCGTCCTACGCTTATTTCACGGGATGAAATGTTGTTAAATGACAAATTTACCCTTGTGAAGAAGAGTATCCTTACAATTGTTTCACTCTGCCCTCATCTCGTTTTCACAGGAGCTCCATGCGAAATTTTTTCTTGTCTGAGTACGTGAGGAGAGGCCGGAATTGTTGCGTGACGACGAGATAAATGATTTTCCCTTAACTTCACAAAAAGAAATTCATTCCAATTTTCCAATCCACACACACTCAAGCAGACTTACAAAGTCGCAAATGGCGGAAGAAGCTAGGGCACAAAACCAGTCCACACCTATCTCAAGAAAAACATAGTCAAAGCGTGTCAACATTCAAAAAAAAAAAAAAATCACAGAAAAAAAAAAATATAAAAACCAGGTAGATCGTTGCTTACCAGTCGTGCGGCAGAGGAGACGAGAGAACTAGGGCCTGGACGATGAAATCAGAGAAATTGTGTACGGTAGATAGATCCCATCCTGCAAAATGAAAATGATTAAAGAAATTCAAGAAATAAAATCCTTCAGCCACAAAAAAAGAATTCTTATATGGTATAAGATTGTAAATACAAGTACATTAAGGGGTAATTTTATCTTTTCGCAGCCAATTTTGAGGACAAAATGGTCAATTTTGAATTGGGATTAAAAAATCCGGGGGTCAGGCCGGGATTTATTTATCAGCGAATCATTGATACATGTGTGGGACCCACATGCCACATGCGTGCCAACTGGGACAGGTCCTATCCCAATCATTTAAAGTAAACGCAAGAGGTGTGACAACTTTAGTTATCCAATTCCGTCCAACAAAGTAAACGAGGCCCATACTCTATAAAGTTCAACAGACATACTCTTTTAAGTACTACTGCCTACCAGTTAGGAAGATTTATTTAACCACTAGCATATTAGAAAAACCTCTACACAAAAAGAGGATAAGTGTCGACGGCGAAGAATAAAGTACATAAAGGCTATAAAGCTACACAAATAAAAAGGTATGATCCATAATTCTCCAGATTTCTCATTCTAATTTGATTCTTTTTTATTTATTTATTTTGTGTGTGTGTGTGTGTGTGCGTGCGTGTGTGTGTGTGTTGAAACTTTTAGCCCCTTAAGCAACCTCTTATTTCTTTATGACAATCGGGAAGCTTTGACATTCTATTTAGATGCTTCCATATTACTAATCCTTATCAGAAAGCTTTGACATTTGTGTTGAGAATTGCTATGATAAAATAACTCATGCTTTCAGCCTTTTTGCCAAAGCCTACTGGCAAAGTATTCTCTCTCCATCATGCAAAGAAACATTGGTCAGAGGAATAAAACTAAACACAACTGAAAAGGGCAAAACAGTCATTGCAAACTTCTCTACTTGAGACATTTTTCTTGACATGGTATTATTGCAACAGCATCTACTGCCTCAGGAAAACTAAGTAAAAAAAAAAAAAAAAAAAAAAAAAAAAAAAAAAAAAAAATCAGAAACAAAGAATTAACTCCAACAATTCATACAAATATATACATAACTTGAGAACAATGAAAATTAATAAGTTTTAGAAATACCTCTCGATCGATCGGTCGGTCAGTCAGTCACCAGTAGTCCTTGCAGGAACAAACACCATCCTTACAATGGTGAAATCTACTCCTATCTCTTATAACAATCTCCATATCATACACCTTTGAAGCCAACTTCATAAACTCATGACAGTCCTCGCATATCCTCAGATTCTTGATAATACGAATGCAAGACTTGTTTTCCCGCCCAATCAGTCCATAAGACAAGGCCAACTTCTCCCCGTGCCACAGAACAACTTCCCGCTTCTCATCCTCATCCAAATCCATCACAACACCAATCGGGTTCGGGCTGTACCCGGCCCTTTTCAGCCTCTTCACCACCTCGTCCAGCTTGGCGTAAATTTCGTCCGCCCTTTCGTGCCTTCTATCTGCCACAAGGAACTCATGCATCTCGCCATCCATTTCAATCAAGCTACACCCTTTTTCCTTTAATATGCCCTCGTTCTTCATCCCCCGTCTAACTACACCCACTTTCTCCCAATTCTTTTCCTTCGCATATATGTTTGATAACAACACGTGGGCCCCATCATGGTCGGGGTCCAATTCAAGAACGCGCCTCGCGGCAAATTCTCCCAACTCAAACTCGCCGTGAATTCTGCAAGCTGCCATCAGCGAGCCCCACACGACGATGTTTGGGGCCATCGGCATCCCCTCGACAATCTCCAAGGCCTTTCGGAGATAATTTGCCCGACCGTACAAATCGACCATGCACCCGTAGTGTTCCAATCTGGGCGTAATTCCATATTCTCCCACCATCGAGTCGAAGGCCCTTTGTCCCTCCTCGACCAGACCTGCGTGGCTGCACGCGTAGAGGACACCCACGAATGTTACCCAGTTGGGTTCGACTTTTTCGAGCTTCATCTGCTTGAAATATTTAAGGGCGTTTTCGGCATCTCCGTGGATGGCGAAACCGCTCACCATGCTCGTCCAGGATATAACGTTTTTCGAACGCATCTGGATAAAAACCTGCCTCGCGTCCTCTAGACTGCCACATTTCGCGTACATATCTATTAGGGCATTGTTCACAGGCAATCTTTTTCCAAATCCTTTCTCATTCACGTAAAGATGTACCCTTTTGGCCTGGTCCAATGCACCGAGACGGGCGCAAGCAGAAATAACGCTCAACATAGTAACCTGGTCAGGGTTAATTCCATTTTTCGGCATCTCGTGGAATATTTTAAGTGCCTCTTGAGGTTTGTCACTATCAACATACCCGGAAATCATTGCACTCCAGCAGACCAAGTCCTTGCCAGACATTTGGTCAAACAAGAGCCGAGCGGCATCGAGATTGCCGGCTCTCGAGTAGCCACAGATCATGGCAGTCGAGCTCACGACGGTTTTCGGGTTCATATCGTCGTACAATTTTTGTGCCACATCCATGGCGCCCGAGCTGGCATACATGTTTAGAAGGGCACTCTGCAAATGGGGGTTGTTAATGGGGATATGATTTTCGGATATTAAACCGTGCACGAATTTTCCAATTTCTAGGTTTCGAGCACGGCTGCATGCAGATAGGATGGTGGTGAAGATTCTTGAATCTGGTGGCATGTTAGAACTCTGCATCTCATCCAGGAGGGCTAACGCATTGTTGAGAAGTTGGCTTTGGCAGTAACTGTTTTTGGGTAGGCACACAAGAAGGGTCATATAACTTTTGAATCAAGTCAGTCTTACCACTTAAGTAAGCTAAAAATATATAGATTTATTATCTAACTTTGTAGATAGACACACATTAACATTAACTTTGTAGATAGGCAAATATTAGAAATTTACCAAAACTCAATACTTAAAAGTTTCCAGTGCGAGGGATGAAACTCACCCATCCATCATGATAGCCCAAGTGACAATATCTCTGTAAGACATTTTATCAAACACAAGACGCGCATCGGTTATGGACCCGCAATCCGCATACATCCTCACCAGCGCAGTCTCCACAAAAGGGTCGGATACGTATCCCAGCCTCGCCGCCAGGCCATGAAACATTTTCCCTTCACTGAGGGATGCGACTTTCGAGGCGGCCTTCAACAACAGCGGAAAGCAGAACCTGTCGACGGGAAAGGCGTTGGTATACATAGTCTGGAAAAAAAGCAGCGTGTGATCGTGGTTGTTGGAGCGGGAGAGGTGTTTGAGGAGCTTGTTGGCCAGATGTGGCGGCGGGGGCCGGTGTGTGGGGGCGAAGGAGAGAAGAGAGAGAGAGTAGGAGGGGAAGTTGAGGGCGGAGAGGAGGAGATGCGAGAGGGTCTGGTGGTGGTTAGGGTGGTCGGGGTTTCTTAGGAGGTGGGCGTGGATTTGTTTGAGGTGGAAGAAGGAGGTGGCGGTGGAGAGGTTGGGCTGGTGGTGGCAGAGAGGTGCGGTGGCGGCGGAGGGGAGGGGATGGAGAGCGGCAAGAGGGAGAGCGTGAGCCATGGCTGGAATGTGCGAGCAGTATGGGGAAAAAATATTTTTTAACCTCCACCACTTTTTCATTCGGCCTCTAGTCCGTGGTTTGGGCAGAGCTATGGTGGTGAGATGGGGGGTTTGGTTCAATTTCCTCCGGGTGAGGGTGGGGTCGGCTGTTCGAGTGCAAGGTCGAGTTTCGAGGGTCTAGCTCCAGTTAGGTGCGTAAGTTTCAGTTTCTAGTGTTGGGTATGGGGCGAGTTCCAGTCCGTATGGATGGTCGGCCATTGATATTATTGTCGTAATTGCTTGGCGTGTTCCCGACCGTGAGAAGGGCTTCATCCTTTATTTCTTTGGAGGCTGGTTTTGTTTATTGTTTTGTGTTTGTGATTTGTGGTGTTTTGTTAGTGTTTGGTATGTATGTTTTGTTTGTAGGCTGGTTTTGCTTTCTTCTTCTTTGGAGAAGCATATTATTCTCTTGTGGGGAGTTGGTGTCATTCTCTTGTAGGGAGTTTTTTTTTTTTTTTTGTATGTTGTAGAGTGTGTTGTGCCATCTAGGCTGACCTCCATGAGCAGCTCCTATTCCGATTGTCAGCTGGTTGTAATTATGTGTTTTTCTTTAATGAATCTATCGTTTCAAAAAAAAAAAAAAAAGTAAATAAATGGAAACCATGTTTAATACACCAAATTCCCCATGCTAATTTCCCCATGTATTTTCTTCAGGAATAGAGCCCCGTTCTTATGGCCATTATTTAAACCAAAAAAATGAAATATGATCATTTATTTTCAAACGATAAATTATATAAAGAAAAACTCAAGCAAGTGTTTTTACAAGTCATAATCAAATAAGTAAAAGGTGTTCTAATCTACTAAAGCTAGTGAGATCAGAGCACACGGGAAAAACCAAGTTTCACCCTCGAGTGGTAGAAACCCACAAACAAACATCATTACGCTACAACCGAACTAGAAAGAACAAAAGAACAACAAGGAATAACAATTACAAGGGTCAATATCTCATCAGCAATGTCCCCATTCTCAGTCTCCCTTATTTCTCTTATGTTAAGAGCTGCTCTTGTGATATTCAACTCCACTTTAGCTCACCTCTTCCCAGCATTCCTCCACACAAGTGTAAGTCATTGAGTGAAAATAAAAATGAGTGGGTCCATACCTCATTATTTCACATGCCTTATGTTCTCTTGTATCTGATCATTTCACATGCCCCATGTTTTCGCTCAAGGATTTTTTCTTGGTTTGTATGAAGGCCATTATGGCAATTGGCTAATTTGTATCTCTTTTTCCTTCTATAAATACACGGAGCAGAAAAATCTGATAGAAGAAAAAAGAGAAAGAACAAAGAACAGAGAAAAAGAGAGGAAAAAAAAAGAGAAAGAGAAAGGAAAGAAAAGAAAGATTTATGTCTAAATATTGAATATAAAAATATCAAAAGAAGAAACAAGTGATATTTTAATTTGTTTTAGGATATTCCTTTTGTTTTTTAGTGCTCAATTCTCGACTCCGTTCCAGTTTATCGGAACTCGTAAATCTGGTGTGCTACAGATTTAGAGACGTTTGTCGTTGTATCTTTGGGGAAGTTACGCCTGAAGCGTTAGCTGCCACACATGGTGTTACGCCTGAAGCGTTAGTTGCCACACATGGTGTATTCTTCTTGCGGAAAGAGTTTTACTCGTCTCGGCTAAAATCTTTCCGTTTTTCAGTTATAATTTATTTTCAGTTCAATTGTAATTTTCTATTTTTAGATTATTTGTGAGAACTGAAAAAATACATATCAGTTCGTAGAATCCCGTGTAATTTCACACCAAGTACTAACAATCGCAAGAAGAATAATATATTCCTACTGAACTGATGACTTCCACCGGAGCAGGTTCCAACTCTCAGCAGCCGATCAACAACTCTGTTAAGCATTATCATCATGTACCTGTTGTTCAGGTTCCGACTGCTGAAAAACCCAAAAAATTCAACGGGCTTGACTTCAAGAGGTGGCAACAGAAGATGCATTTCTACCAAACCACCTTGGGTTTGGCAAAATTTCTGAAGGACGATCCCCTTCTTGTTGCTGAAAATGAAACCAACGCTGAACTACGCGTTGCGTACGAAGCTTGGGGGCAAGGTAATTAACTTTGCCGGAACTATGTCCTGAATGGACTTAGTAATGAGTTGTACAATGTGTATAGCTCTGTTGGTTCTGCCAAGGAGCTTTGGGCTGCCTTGGAAAAGAAGTACAAGACTGAGGATACCGGGGCAAAGAAATTCATCGTCGGAAAATTTCTTGACTTCAAGATGGTTGACATGAAGACTTTCGTGTCACAAGTGCAAGAGTTCCAGTTGATCTTGCACGATATCCATGCTGAAGGGATGACTTTGAGCGACTCATTCCAAGTAGCGGCTATGATCGAGAAGCTGCCGCCAGACTGGAAGGACTTCAAGAACTATCTCAAACACAAGAGAAAGGAGATGAGTCTTGAAGACCTGGGTGTTCGTCTTCGTATTGAGGAGGACAACCGTAATTCATCAGAAAAAATCCCGATAATGGAAGCTTGTGTGAACTTGCTAGAGCAAGGCAACTCGAGCAAGAGGAAGTCCCTTAACAGAGGGAAGCAGTTCGCCAAGGTTTGGAAGTTTACTGGCACTTTCCACAATTGTGGAAAGCATAACCATATGGCCAAGGACTGCAGGAAGCCTAAGAAGGCTGGGCAAAAGAAGGCGCAACCAAGTGCCCTCGTTGCTGAACACGGCCCTGTGCCGGGCGAATTGACCGACTTTGATATGTCAGCGGTGGTGTTTGAAGCCAATTTGGTGGATAACCCAAGGGAGTGGTACATCGATACTGGTGTCACTCGCCATGTGTGTTCCAACAAGGAGTTGTTTTCTAACTACACTCCTTCTAATGGTCGGAAACTTCACATGGGAAACTCCTCCACGTCTGATGTGGCTGGAGTTGGCACTGTGGTGCTGAAACTAACTTCTCGAATGGAGTTTAAGCTTAAGGATGTTCTGCATGTCCCAGACATCCGCAAGAATTTGGTCTACGGATCTCTTCTTGTTGAGCATGGATTTAAACTGGTGTTTGATGCTAAGAAGTTTGTTATTAGCAAGTTTGGAACATTCCTTGGTCGTGGTTATCTCGACAAGGGTTTGTTCAAAATGAATGTATTGGTCGTGAGCCGTGTAACCGTTTCCAATGATAATGAAAAGCCTATTTCTGTTTATACCGTCGAGTGCTCTGACTTATAGCATATTAGATTGGGACATGTAAATCTAAATGCAACCAAACGGTTGATGAATTTAGAATTAATTCCTAATTCTAAAATTGAATCACATAAGAAATGTGAAACTTGTGTTGAAGCCAAAATGACTAAGTTGTCTTTCCACTTGGTGGAAAGAAGTACAGAACCATTAGGCTTGATCCATACTGATGTATGTGATATGAAAAGTGTGCAAACAAGAACGGGTAAAAAGTATTTTATTACTTTTATCGATAATTGCTCAAGGTTTTGCTACTTATATTTGTTAAGAAGCAAAGATGATGTTATGGAAGCATATAAGTCTATATGACCGAAGTTGAAAATCAACTCGGCAAAAGGATTAAAATAATCCGAAGTGATAGGGGTGGGGAGTATGTAGCTCCTTTTGAACAAATATGTTCTAAATAAGGCATAATTCATCAAACGACAACCCCCTATTCTCCGCAGTCAAATGGTGTTGTTGAATGCAAAAACCAAACTTTAAAAGAAATGACTAATGCCATGTTGATTAATTCAGGATTACCACAGAACATGTGGGGTGAAGTTGTTTTAACAGCAAATCACATCCTGAACAAAATACCACCTAAAGGGAAAGATGAGACTCCTTACGAAATGTGAAAAAATCGTAAGACGCCTTATAAATACCTGAAAGTGTGGGGGTGTTTCGCTAAGGTTTCAGTACATGAACCTAAGCAAATGAGAGTCGGACCAAAGACAATCGATTGTGTCTTTATTGGATATGCGTACAATAGTACAACATATTGATTTATGGTTCATAAATCAGAAAATCCAAAGGTATATGTGGGTACCACGATTGAGTCGATGAATGCTATATTCTTTGATAATATTTTTCCTCTGAAGGAAAGGGCATAATCTAGATCTAACAAACGAACATATGAAACTGCTAGTGATTCTGTACCAGAGGGTACTAATGAAGAACCAAGACGTAGTAAAAGGGCTAAAACGGCTAAAACGTTTGGACCTGATTTGATTACGTACATGTTGGACGATGAACCAAGTTCCCTTAAGGAAGCTCTGTCCAGCCCAGATGGACCACTCTTGGAAGAAGTTGTAAATAGCGAAATAGAGTCCATTATGCAAAATCATACTTAGGAGTTGGTTGATCTCCCTGATGGTTGTAAATCTTTAGAATGCAAGTGGATCCTAAAAAAGAAATATAAAGCTGATGGATCGATTGATAAGTTTAAAGCACGATTGGTAGTCAAAGGCTTTGAACAAAAGGAAGGGTATGATTTCTTTGATATCTATTCACTTGTTACGCGTTTAGCATCGATAAGAGTGCTTCTCTCAATTGCTGTTTTGCACAATCTTGAGATTCACTAAATGGATGTAAAAATGGCATTTTTGAATGGTGCATTAGAAGAAGAAATATACATGGAACAACCTGAAGGGTTTGTTGCACCTAGACAAGAGAGAAAGATGTATAGATTAATCAAAACCTTGTACGGACTGAAAAAAGCTCCAAAACAATGGCATTTAAAATTTGATGACGTGACGTTGACAAATGATTTTAAAATCAACGAATGTGATGAATGTGTTTATGTAAAGAGTACATCAAATACATTTGTGATTGTTTTTCTATATGTAGACAATATGTTGATCATGGGGAGTAGCCATGAAGTGATCATGGATCCGAAAATAATGTTGAAGAGAAATTCGACATGAAAGATATGGGTTTGGCTGATGTTATTCTTGGAATAAGGATTATCAGAACCCATGATGGAATTGTCTTATCACAATCTCATTATATAGAGAAAGTGCTCAAGAAATTTGATACCTATGACGGTGCACAGTCTAGGTGTAAGACACCCCTTGATCTCAGTACAAATTTGGTAGTCAACAAAGGTCAACTAGTGGCTCAGTTAGAATATTCACGGGTAATAGGGAATCTGATGTACTTGACGAATTGTACACGGCCAGACTTGGCCTATCTGGTAAATAAGTTGAGCAAATTTAGAGCAATCCCAGTCATGAACACTGGAATTCTTTGAGAAGGGTACTTAAGTACTTGAGGTACACCCTTGAATACGGGCTAAAATACTCTAGATATCCATCCGTACTTGATGGGTACTGTGATGCAAGCTGGATATCAGATTCGAGAGATTATCGCTCCACTAGTGGATATGTTTTCTGTATTGGAGGAGGTGCAGTTTCGTGGAAATCCACAAAACAAACATGTATAGCTCGGTCAACGATGGAATCGAAATTCATTTGTTTAGATAAAGCTGGTGAAGAAGCCGAGTGGCTTAGAAATTTTTTATCCGATATTCCATGTTGGAATAAGACTTTGTAGCTTGTGATGATTCACTGTGATATCCAAGCTGCTATAGGTAGGGCGCAAAGCAACTTGTATAACGATAAGTCTAGACATATTTGTCGTAGACATAATACCGTACGTCAATTGATCACAAATGGTATTATTTCCATTGACTATGTGAGTTTAAGGAAAATTTGGTTGATCCTTTGACGAAAGGATTGAATAGAGATCAATTGGGAAGATTTCTAGAGGGAATGAGTTTAAAAATCCACAATGTAAAGAATGATCATAGTGGTAACCCTACCATGCTGAGGGGAGATCCCACGAACTTGGTTCAAAGGAAAAACTAAGCTATGAAAATTCAGTTGAACACTTGGAACATATGAATGTCTAAAGTTATTCCCTAAAGCACTCCAAGTGCAGGATGACCTGTTGATTGTTGTGAGGATAAGTCATCTGGACTTTTAATGAATCCCTAACCTTGTAAAGGTGGAGTAATATAGGATATTCTTGATAGGGAGGTCGCATATATAAGTGTGAAGTGAGGGCCGCTTCAAATGTACACTTATGAATCCAAAGTGTAGTCCATGGCCAAAACGGACACAACGATACAACGAAATGGATTTAAGACTTTATTGTGTGAATGTCATTGTCTTGGTGTACACTATAGAGGAATGGTTCAAGACATTAAGTCCATTAGGCCGCTAGTGCATCCGATGATGTTTACTAAGAAAGGTTCAAAGCCAAAAGCTACCTTCTTTGATGCAATAGAGTTTATTGAGGATTGAGCACAAGAGTCTGCAGACTTGCATGCATTTAATTTCCACTCATGTGTGGGATTGTAAGTCATTGAGTGAAAATAAAAAATGAGTGGGTCCATACCTCATTATTTTACATGCCTTTTTTTGCATGCCTTATGTTCTCTTGTATCTGATCATTTCACATGCCCCATGTTCTCCCACATGTATTTTTTCTTGGTTTGTGTGAAGGCCATATGGCAATTGGCCAATTTGTATCTCTTTTTTCTTCTATAAATACACGGAGCAGAAAAATCTAATAGAAGAAAAAAGAGAAAGAACACAGAACAGAGAGAAAAAGAGGGAAAGAAAAGAGAAAAGGAAAGAAAAGAAAAGAAAAGAAAAGTTTATGTTCAAATATCAGATATAAAAATATCAAAAGAAGAAACAAGTGATATTTTTATCTGTTTTAGGATATTCTTTTTGTTTTTAAGTGTTCAATTCTCGACTCCGTTCTAGTTCGCCGGAACTCGTAAATCTGGTGTGCTACAGATTTAGAGACGTTTGCCGTTGTATCTTTGGGGAAGTTACGCCTGAACCTTTAGCTGTCACACGGGGCGTAATCTTCTTGCGGAAAGGATTCTACTCGCCTCGGCTAAAATCTTTCCGTTTTTTAGTTGTAATTTATTTTCAGTTCAATTGTAATTTTCTATGTTTAGATTATTTGTAAGAACTGAAAAAATACATATCAGTTCGTAGGATTCCCGTGTAATTTCACACCAAGTATCTAACAACAAGTTTGCAGCATCCACTTAGTTTTCCTCAAATCCAGAATCTCCATATTTGTGTGAAGCTATTGACCCTCTCCATGTCTTGATGATTTTGTCATCCTTCCTGCAGTTCCCTGAGTTTTCAAGTATTCCCCAACTGAGCTTAAGGCACTGACAACCACACTAACTTGCCCTACCCCCATGGAAAATTGCTCAACTGTGGTTGTACTATCAACCTGCATATCTTCCAAGTTTCAGTCATTCAAGCCTGAATTGTTGAGTATTCTATCCAATCTTTTCTGGCCATCTCAACTACTTCAAACTCAGAACTTTTTATTTTTTCAAACATCCAACAATTCCTAGTCCTCCGTAGCCAACAAAGTGGGTAGACAAGCTTATCCTATTTGATAGCTATAAAGTCACGAGAATTTATCAGCTCAACCCATTAATCTTTAAAAGAAAATCACTAGACTCCAGTTTATGCCAACTTACTCCCACGATTTTCCATTAAGCTCTTACTCTTTGACATTTGAAAAGCAAGTGTCCACATCTTCCTCTGATGCAGCACACCCTTTATAGATTTCATCCACCTCCACTCTCTTTCTTCTAAGCTGACAGTCAGTACCTAGAAATCCATGCCAGGTCCTCCACAAGAAAATTCTGATTTTTTTCTTGATTGGTAACTTCCAGGTTCAGCTCCACATTCTTCTATCCTGGTTTCTCTCTATGCTTGACTCAACTTTTCCTTGATTTAAGGTTTGCTCTTGCTGCAGCAGTTCATAACAGGACTTTACAGTGAAAACACCAGTCTTATGCCCCAGCCACACCATCTTATCTTTTTTTCCTCTGCTAAGTAAAGGGATTGAAAGTATTTTACCTGCAATAAAAGGGCAAAAAGACTGGTATATTAATTCCTCATCCTACATACTCTCACTTCAGTTGAACATGTCACTCACCCACACTAGATTTCTCCTATCACTCTCAAACTGACACATGGGCTTCTTCTCCTTGATGTTTGGGATCCAAGGGGTCTGGGGAGTCCCAAATCTTAGTTCGTGGGGAAGACGAGTTGCCCTTGTAATCAAACTAATAAATATTGTGTACAATGAGGTTTATATTAAATATTATTTTTTTCACTAGGAACATTTTATGATTTGACGATTTCTCTACGTATTATCGCTATTTTATTTATCAATATTCTTCAAATTATAATATTCCCCAAAATAAATACAATCGTGCATCGCACATGTTACGTATGAGTGTACTACCACACACTTAATTCTTGTTGAATAGAAATATCTTGTTAGAAAAATTTAGACATTGCTCAACAATCTGCAGCAAAGTTTGCTTCACGGTAGCAGTGCACAACTTTCACTACCTATTCCCGCCTCAACAACTATTGTATGGCCCAAACTACTGCACCATGCACTCCCCACCCCTCAGTTGGCGACCCCAGAACCATACTAACGACACTCTTATTGTCCACATCCGCTAACACGTTCCGGCACCCCAAATCCCAAGGTAGCTGAAGGCCTTGGAATAGCCCCCAAAGCTCCGCCTCTGTTATCGTAGTATACCCAATGTTCATTACGAAGCCCCCAAGCTAGTGACCTCCATCGTCCCGTACGAGGCCCCCTGCTGACGCCATGCCCGTTGTCTTAATTAAGGAGCCATCTGTATTTATTTTCACCCCGCCCGTTGGTAGTGCAGACCACGCAATCCAATGGGGTTCCCACTCTGAGTCCACCCAATCGTCGTTCAACAGTCACGACACAACTAATGCTACTCACAAAGTTATCCACCTCTTTAACCTTTTGTGGAACAACAAACTCGCTATCGACAAAAATTGCTTCATTACTGCCCCACCATATTTTCCACGTGGTAACACCAAATATGGTCTCCCACCCCTCAACATGAATGTGCAGTTTGATCCTTAGATTGAGCAGCAACCAGTCCTTAAGTTCTAAACTAAAAAAAAAAAAAACAGAGTGATATTTCACCGACAAAAGAGAATGCCAAACCTGGGCTGCACCTGTACAATCCCGAAGGGCATGCATGACGGATTCCTCCCCCCAACCACACAGCGTGCACGTCGGCGAGCTCGTCAAAGGGCGGCGAGTGCGTTCCCTATTTGTCAATAGTCGATATTGAGCCGCAAGCCAGAGGAATTGTCGGATTCGTTGAGGGCCTACCCACTGCCAAATAGACTTCCATAGAACACGGTTAGTTTTCGGCTCGAGAGGAAGTAGCGACTCGTAGGCTGATTTCGTGGTTAAACGACCATTATCCGAAAACCCCCAATAAATCGCATCATTTGTTAGGTGAGGGTTCGGAGGCATGACTGACGCGATGCGCAGCAGTACATTCGCAGGTAGCAGGTGTGCAAAAGATCCCCAATTCCATCCTCCCGAGACCGCCACAAAGCTAGCCATCGGCAGCCCCCATTGGTCCGCTGGGATCGGGCCTGTCGCGAGAGCTAATAACGGCGTCGATTGATGGAGCCATGTGTCGTGCCAAAATCTGGCACGTCGGCCATTACCAACAGACAAACAGACCCCCTTCAGAAGCTCTGGCCAAACTCTACCAATTGCCCGTAATATCGTGGAATCCTTAGGAAAAACAAAGTCGGCACCCATAGAGTTGATATTAAGCTTGTACTTCGCCACCAACAAACGAACCCATAGCGTGTCCGGCTGCGTGAGAAGAGACCACCCCAGTTTCATTATGAACGCCTTATTCATCTCACGATGGCGCTTTAAACTGAGCCCACCCGAGTCTTTACTATGACACACAATCTCCCATGGCACAAGTGGTATCTTGCGATTAGTACCACACCTCCCCACAAAAACGTCCGACACTTTTTCTCCAGCTGGGCGCAAATGAAGGTCGGGAGCCACGCCGTCTGCATGGTGTAGTATGGAAGTGTACTCACGACCGACTGAGTCAAGACACACCGCCCTGCTAGAGATAAGGAGCTGGCCTTCCAACCCGCCAGCCCACTATCAACTTTCGCCACAATATTATCATAGGTTCGCGTATTCACTCGACCATGTATAAGAGGAACCCCCAGGTACTTCCCTAGACAATCAACAGCAGAGAAGTTCATCAAGTTTGCCAGATGTTGTTGACGGTCAAGAGGGACGTTTTTCGAGAAGAACACAGTCGTTTTAGGCTGACTGACCTGGAGACCCGATTGAGCACAAAATTCCTCAAGGACATTCTTAACGAGAGTCCCTTGATCGTCTGAAGCTTCGAGAAAAAGTAATAAATCATCGGCGAACATTAAGTACGGAATCTTTACCTCGCCATTACCCATAGAGATGGGTCTCCACGAGCCATTGGCAACCCGAGCCTTGATCAATTGAGCTAGTCTCTCAATACAAATCACGAACAGATAGGGTGACATCTAAGGCTGCACACTGAGTACGACGCCGTTGCAATTAAAGCGAAAATCAGTTCCCAAAGCTCACAGTCATTACCCCATTCAGTTCTCGTCAAAGAAAATGGGTGAAGCTCTTTTCGATCTTGAACGAATCCTTCGTTCTAAGAAGGTATGTGTTTCGATCTTTCTTTTAACTGGAATTTGATTTGGTTTGTGAGTTTGTAATTGTTACTTGTTCTTTACAAATATAAATGACGAGAAATTGATTGATTAAAGACAAACAGAAGCTTAATCAGTGATTTCGAAACAACGCTGGTTCGATTCTAAGAACAAGGAACATATTGTTAAAGTTGCGTCATTGGTTCTTTTGATCTACACAAATTATGTTGTAAACAAAAAAACAAATGAGTGGATGGATAAAATGTGGGTTTTTGTGTTGATGAATTTTTAAGCTTTTCGGTTTCTTGATAGCCTATGTGTGGGTGTGCAGGAGCCATTGACAGTTCGAGAAGCAAATGTGTTGATGGCATGGAGAGCTCACGCTATGAGAGACTTTACAGTTGGTTATTGTGGTGGTTCAATTGTTACTTGGCTAGGTGCGCGTTTTATTCATCATTATGATTATCGTATCGAACCATTTTACGCCATAAAGCTTGTCTATTTAAATGTGGGCTTGCAGTGATTTTCATTTTCAGAGAAGAACTTGAATAGATAATACTAAGTATAAAGTTTTCTTGAAGGGGGGCTTTGTCTATATGCTGGCTTGATGATTAGTATGGCTTATAGGCTCTTTCTGGAAATCATCAAGTGCACACCATGTAAATGTGTTAAAATTGCAGAATTTTCATGTTGCATCAAATATGATCTTCCCGGATATGCTAAAAACCACTGGACGGTTGACCTGTTAAGTCAACCCTGAATTAAACTGGTTGTGTATTCAGTCGTGAAAAGCTTATATCAAACCATCATGAGTAACAACATCTGTTATATGTTTAGGAGTGCTGAAATTACTTTTGTTATATGTTTTGATTTTGTATGAATGTTTGCCTGATCAAGCTTTGTACTTTATTGTTCTCAGCAACCCAAAGGCTACGTAAAATTTTTCGTACTAACCTCTCACTGGGTAAGTAATCTGGTTCCTGTTTTTTTCTCTTTTGCCTCTTTTATTCTTTTTTGGAAGTGACAATGGTGATGGTGGTGTTCTTTTTTTTTTTTTTTAATATATATATATAAATATATATATATATATATGTATATATATTTAGATCAATCTTGAATCCTTTAGTAAATAAATTTGAACCTTGGTACTTCCTTTTTTCTAGTTCACGTTTACTTTAGTTTTTTTCAGTTTCTTTTGCGTCAAATAATTTAAGAAGAATTATGAAACAGTGAAATGCTGAATCACTATGTACCATGTGGGTTGAGCTTTACACTAATTTACGGATAGCTCTAGTTTTAATGTGAAATGGTAAAAAAAAAAATGGAAATCCTTTCTTCGCTTTTGTATCTTGCTTCTACAGTATTTTTGCTCTGATGTGTTAAACAATAACCGATTCTATCTACTGATATTGTACATTGTACTTGCAGGTGCTGGATTTGTATGTGGAATCTGGAAATTTGGAAAATCTGTTGACTCATCTGTTCAACATATTCTTTCACTGAAAGGGAGTCGGATACAGGGAGAGTTGGCTAACATGTAAGCCTTACTGAATCCTACTGACTTCTGCTAATATTATCTTTTTATTACCGACTTACAGAATTTTATCATTTATAAGTTTCTAGTAGAAGCTTTTTTTTTTTTTCATATCAAATGCGGTACAAACTTGATACACACTACCGTGCTTAGAATAACGTACAAAGGTAAATCTCATGTAGCAGGTAAGATGATGTTCATTCATTACTAGAAATTCAGAATTGGAACTCTGATTGTGAGTACTATAAAGTGATGAGTCTTCTGAGATTTTCTTTCTTTCTTTATTTTTTATGTCTTATTATTGAACTCAATGCCGGCATTTAGCTATGACGACCGAGATAGGTTCAATCTGAAAATCAGCATACTTCTATGAAGGTAGTATTTAAAAGATTTTTTTAATGCCTGAAAATGAGCAAAGCGCAACTGATAATCACCTCACACCCCCCACACACAAATTGAAAAAAAAAAAGATAAAAATTACAAGGGCTTTTATCTAAATACATGGAAATGCATGAAGCGCTGGTCATACTTCGTGTTGTATGGATGTATCAAGAAGGATGTGTAGTCCAATGAGGTTACTATAAACTGTATATGCATGCCTTCTTTTTTTTTTTCTTTGTTTTTCTTGCTGAGATGATTGTTTTCATTTTATCATTTCTGTTGGGGTTCATGATTTTGTTTACTTGCATTTTAGAATGCTGAAGAAATATCACCGTAATCCATGGGTAATACAGCAACTCTCAAAGCATTTTTACACTGAAGAAGTCTATGATGACTCATCAGTAGACCGGCCGATGATTAGGTGGCGTCACCGAAACTTCACTGTCGATCGTTCTCAAAATACATCATATGGTGAGGAAGCTCATTCAAATGAGAGTCGTGTCAACGAGACTACCTTGGAACCGAAGCAAGTTCATGTGAGTAAATATGCTCGAACGACGTAATTTATTATGCACAACTCTGAGTATAGTGGATAGAAATCGTATCATCCAATTATTTTCTTTGTTTAATGAATGCTGAACAAGAAAATGGGGAGAGCTACAAACCACAATATTTTGTTTATTAGAAATCAGTTGTTGTGAAAATCTCCCATAAATTATAGGGATCCCGTGAGTTTCTTATATACTTTTTGTGGAAGATACTCTTTAAGGCTACAATTTGTATGATGGTAACGAAAATCGACTGATATATATTCTAAATCCATTTTCGAGAGAATACTGGAAAATAATGTTCCCATTTTCTCTTTTAGGTGAATAGTGGTGGCAATGCTATGGAGAACCCATTGGATCTAATTTTCGGATTTTCTGAGAGTGCGGAAAATGTTTCGACTCCTGTTGAAAAAGTCAGCAAGTTATCTAAAAAACAGAGGCGCAAAGAGAAAAGGGCTGCACGTAGGCAAAGGAGGCACCACCACCATCATCAGGAGGAGGAGTCTGGCAATTGAGATAGTGAATATCTGTCCAAGCTTTTGTGACTTTATTTCTGTGCATCAGCAGCTGGTGGAAAATAGGTGGGAAATGTTATTTAATTCCTGTGTTCAGTACAATTAAAGTGACTTCTGGAATTAAATCCTTTGTAGCTTTGAGTTGGAACATTAGTTTTGTCATCTTGCCCAGTTTTATGTAATAATGAATGGCAGGAACTCCGACTATTGACTTGACTTGGAGCTTCATGCAAAATAGTCTATAAATAGTTGTTACTTTGAACTTCTCTTGTTTAGCTGTTACAATCGAAAAAATAGACAACTGAGAAATGATTATATGGCCAACCCGACTTAATCCGCTCCACTCGAAAGTCTGAAGCCTTAAGACTTTAATCTGCACCACTTGAAGCCTTAATCCTTGTTGAAATCAATTTGTGAGCTAAGATATTTCAGAACATTTTCTCCATACAATCAGAAAAATCAAAGGTAGCGTTTTACAGGGAAGACCCTTATATAGGGCCCATGCACCGTACAACCATGCAACACCAAAACGACATCGTTTTGGTGTAAGAAGTAAACGCACCCAACTAAAAGAGTCGCAACACGCGTTTAAGAGGAAAAAACGTAAAAGGAAAATAAAAGAAACAAAAAATGATAAAACCAAAAACAAACTAAGTCTTCAAACTGCAAGCAGTCCCTTGATCATGATGCACAATTCCAACAGCCCCCCCTCAAGTTGGGCATGCCGGGAAGACAACCATGCCCAACTTGGACACAAGAAGACGAAACTGAGAACCGGTGAGAACCTTGGTGAACAGGTCTGCCAGCTGAAGTCGAGTAGAAACATGCATGGGATGAACAAAACCGGATTTGTACTTATCTCTCACAAAATGGCAGTCGATTTCCAGGTGTTTAGTACGTTCATGGAAAACTGGATTTGCCGTGATGTGTAAGGCAGCTCTATTATCACACAAAAGAGGGATAGGGTAGTCCAGGTTGACATGAAACTCATGCACAATGTAGGAGATCCACAGCAACTCAGAAACAGTAGAACTTAAAGCCCGATATTCTGCCTCTGCAGATGAACGAGAAACAGTGTTTTGTTTCTTACTTTTCCATGAAATGAGACAACCTCCAAGAAAAACAGCATAGCCAGTGATGGACCTCCTCGTATCCTTGCAAGCAGCCCAGTCAGCATCACTGTAGGCTGTGAGCAGGCTCTTGTTATGGTTGGAAAAGTGAAGTCCAAGGGTGGCAGTACCCTTAAGATACCTCAAGATGTGAACAACTGCATCCCAGTGAGAGGAGTATGGATCATTGACAAATTGGCTCAACTGCTGGATGGCATATGTAACATCTGGTCTAGTCATTCCCAAGTAGAGCAATCTCCCTATGAGTCTCCTAATTGGTCTGGATTATCAAGTGAGATCCCATCTTTGTTGTGCAATTGCAAACCATGAGGCAAAGGTGTGGCTGCACTCTTGCATTCCTTCATATTCATATCTTCTAGCAAATCCAAGATATATTTCTTTTGGCAGAGATAACTCAGATAAGTACCAGCATGATCCCTCAATATTTCAACTCCAAGGAAAAATTTTGCTGGCCCAAGGTCCTTGATAGTAAACTCATGATCCAGAAACAGTTTAAGTTGAGTAATGAGGTCCTCACATGAGCTTGTCAAGAGGATATAATCAACATAGACCAAAATAGCCAAAAAATGACCATTTTTAGTGAGTGTAAACAAACAATGATCATAGGCAGATTGTATCAAACCAAAATCTGATAATTTCTTACACAGTTCATTATTCCACTCTCTTGAGGCTTGTTTGAGACCATACAAACTTCTCACCAACTTACAAACCTGCCCTTGTTTTGCTTTAGTATATCCTTGAGGTGGTGCCATATATACCTCTTCAGTGATGTATCCATGCATGAATGCATTGTTTACATCCAGCTGGTGCAAAGCCCAATTATTCATTGTGGCCATAGCAATAAACACCCTCACTGTTACCAGCTTGGCTACAGGAGAGAAAATATCAAGATAGTCCACACCAGCTACCTGATTGTACCCCTTAGCCACAAGTCTAGCCTTGTATCTCTCCACTGTTCCATCACTTTTCCTTTTTATTTTATATACCCATTTGGAACCAATGGTTTTCTTCCCCACAGGTAATTCTGTAAGCTCCCAAGTGCAATTGCTTTCAAGTGCTTCCAGTTCCTTTTGCATTGCATCTACCCAAACAGGATTCTTGCATGCTTTGATATAATGAGGTGGTTCCTTTTCTGAGTAGACATTGGACATAAAGGTGTGATATTTCTGTGGCTCAGCTGAATCTACTCCATTGACTTGACTACAGATGTAATCCTCATGCCATTTAGGTGTATGCCTTATTCTGGTACTTCTTCTCAGACCATCTTGATGTGAATTCTCATGCTTATCAACAGAAGTTGAGTCAGTAGTGACCACTTCTTCCTCTGAATGTTCACTGGCCTCATCAACAAGTGGCAAAGGTACCCCAACAACTTCAGTAATGCTCCCTTTGCTATAAGGGAAGACTGTCTCACAAAATACAACATCTCTTGAAATCAGCAAATTCTTAGAATCAAGATCATAGAGTTGATATCCTTTCTTTCCACTGACATATCCAAGAAATATGCATCTCAAACCTCTCTTATCAAACTTGGTTTTCTTGGGATCCACATTAGCTGCATAAGCTAGGCATCCAAAGGTTTTCAGTGAAAGATAATCTGGGATTTTACCATAGAACCTTTCAAAAGGTGACTTCCATCCCAACATAGCACTTGGTAGCCTGTTTATGATATATGCTGCTGTTAAAATAGAAAATGGCCAGAAACTTAAAGGTAGGCTGCTTTGGAACATTAGTGCTTTTCCTATATTCAATAAGTGCCTATGCTTTCTCTCCACCACCCCATTCTGCTGAGGAGTATAAGTGCAGCTTGTTTCATGTATGATCCCTCTTTCATTAAAGAATAGCTGCAAATCATTACTCAAAAATTCTTGTCCATTATCAGTCCTTATTTTCTTAACTGCTATTTCAAACTGTGTTTCAATCATAGCAATAAACCTTTTGACCATTCCAATAGTTTGAGACTTGCTGCTCATCAGATATACCCAAGTCCCTCGGCTGAAATCATCTACTAAAGTAAGGAAGAAAGGTGTATTTGTCAAAGTAGGTCCATGACAAGGTCCCCAGATATCTATATGTACCATATCAAAAATTCTTTTTGAATGAATTTCACTGTGCTGAAAAGGCAATCGATGCTGTTTAGATTTGAAACACACATTACAGTCTTGAATCAAAGTTTCATCATTCTTATTACAGACTTTCTTCAAAAAACTAAAATGCTTCATAGTTGATATAGAAGGGTGCCCCAATTTCTTATGCCAGCTTTCCACAGTTAGATTGCAATGTGCTTGCTGAGCTTGCTTTTCTTCTCCATATTTTTCTTGAAAGACATATAAGTTCCCTTTAAGTCTTCCAACACCAAGAAATTTATCACTCCTCTGGTCCTGCAAGTAGCATTCTGAGGGAGTGAAAGTCCATTTCAAATTGTTATGTGTGCACATCTGATTGACTGAGAGCAAGTTATATTTGAAAGATGGCACAAACAATACATCCTTCAAAATGATCTTACTGCTCAATGTTACCATTCCTTTGCTAACCACCTTCTTCAAGGTTCCATCAGGTAAATATATATTCACTGAGTCATTAAGTGGCTGCAAATGGCTAATTAACTTCCTGTCTGAGCAAATATGCCTACTAGCACCAGTGTCAATAATCCATTCTCCCACCATGTCATTATTAAGAGCAGATAATGCAAAGTGAAGGTCATCTCTCTTATCTTTACCTGCAAAATTTACAAACTGTGCATAATCCACATTGTTCTCCATGCTCTCCTTTCCTTTGATGTACTGAGTGAGTTCATTCAATTGCTGGACTATTGAGTTGAGATCTGGAAACTCAGCTGCTTTGTCATTCATCTTCCTTTTATGATCAGGTGTCTCACTCCCCACCTCTACATTGTTGGCATAAGTCCTCCCTTGCTGTTGTTTAAGATCCTTGTACCACTCTGGTACTCCATGAACTTTGAAACAGGTAGATACATTGTGTCCATTCATCCCACACTTTTCACAGATAAGTTTTGCCTTTTCTTCCCTTGTGAGCCTGGGACCACCTCTGCCCCTTCCAAATCCCCATTGTGCTCCCCCTCTTCCTCCCATAAAGTTCCCTTTACCATATCCATCTGTTCTTGCTGCCAATATTGTGTTCTCCATTATCTCACTGTACAAACTCTGGACAGATTTCTGTCTTTCTGCTGTGAGAGTCATTGAGTAGGCTTTATTCACAGAGGGTAGAGGATCTAGCAACATGATTTGATTCTTCAGGTTGTCATAGCCATCATTGAGTCCCATGAGAAATTGAATCAGTTTGGTCTCAACTTCATGTTGAGCCACTTGTTTCCCTTTCACACAATCACAAACCCTCACAGGTGCAACACATGCATACTCATCCCACAACTTCTTAAGTTTGTTAAAATATTCCATAACAGTATCATTCCCTTGACTCAAGCTATTTATCTCCCTCTGTAATTTGTACTTCATAGGCCCGTTATTTTCCCCATATCTCTGACAAATATCATCCCACAGATCCTTGGCAGATTCCGCATACATGAAGGACTCAGCAACGTCCTTAGATAGAGAGTTCAATATCCAAGAGAGAACAGTCCAATCAACCTTTTTCCAAACAATATACATATCATCCTTTTCATCTGGTTTCTCGATTTCACCATTAATAAAGCCAATTTTCGTTTTAGCATTGAGAGCAATGATCATCGACCGCTTCCATGGCAGAAAATTGTTTCCAGCTAAAGGAGTAGTAACGAGAACCATACCAGGATTGTCTGGGCTGTGTAAAAACAACGGATCCTATTCTGAAAGCCTCGAACCAGATGCAGTGTTGGTGTTGAGCAGCGGCCAAGCCTCATTTTTCCGAAACGCC